TAACAGTGAAGTACTGAGTGTGAATCTTGTACTGGTAAATGATGGGAATTAATGGCAGAACTGAAAACTAGTTGGAAGTTCAGTAATGAGACGTTAGCAGATTTGAGGCACGTTATTAATTTGGATTATATTATTTCCATATAGTATACTTCTGTGAAACTGTTTAAGAGCAGGTACCATGATAAATACAAATCCACTCAACTGCAGAAAACAGTTGTAGAGTGAAAAAATGTGAATTGCTATTGGAAGATGCTTATGAATTTTTAGAATGTTCGCAAAACCTAAATCAAGAAAGGTGAGCCTGGATTAATTATTACATGCACAATAGCTCTTTTACATGGGAACTGAAAACATCTTTAGGGCAAAATCCACCTGATTAGAGAAACAGTAAGTTAGAATGGGAGAAATGCTAGAAAATAGATAACAGCAATAAAGGCACATACAGGAACTCCCTTGTTTCTTGTGTTACTGTAATATTGTATACACAGTGTAAAATTTTCCTTATAATGAGTGGTGATTTAGAAAGTAAGAAGGAGGCAAAGTTGACGTACATGTTTTAAGCTTTGTCCGTTGACCATTTTAAATCTAGCTCTTTTAAACTGAAATTTATTGGTTAGTGATGGTATTTTCCAGGGTTCCTTCAGGTAGTGGTAAATAAGCAGGAACAAGTCAGCTTAAAATGTGGTCATTGATTAGTTTTCCACTGAAGGAGATGAAAAATGTGGGGTGTATTTAATTGGAGAACCACGTGTAGAAGTATGCAGTGGTAGACAGAGGGGTCTTTGGGATGCTATGGGGAGCAGTGTATTGTTTGAGAGACCCAAATCATTCATATGGCAATGACAGAAGTTGCACATTCGAGAGTCCATGTTAACATCTGTTACTCTGGTGCAAATGTGATTGCTGCTGATGTGCTTTGTTCTGAAGGCCATTGGGCCAGTTCTTGCTTGCTGTAAAACTTTATGTCCACCTTGCTGTATTTTAAAGCCTTTCTGATTTGAGGCAGTGAATGGGAGCCTGCAGTGAATCCTGGCGGTGAAATACGTTTTTGCTCTGGGTCTCTCATTCAAATAGCTGTTGGAACTCGGTTGTTTATTCAACTGTTGCATGTGAACATCTCTTACGTATAGAAAATGCATAGGTTTGGGTTTAAAACTGTCAGTGAAGCACCGCTTTCTGTGAGCTGTGATACATAACCTGCTCTGGATTGCTCTCTGCTTCTGTATTCTGGTGGCAGAAATACAAAATGGAAATGAATGTCTGGCACTGAAATTGTTCAGGAAAAATCATACCTGAAAATGCATGCAATTTCCTGCCTAGCACTGGCATTTCTGATATTTTCATTGCATGTATAATCCACTCCAGCTCAGATTCTTCTGAGTCTTTAGGAGGTTTTCTTTCGTGCAAGACTGATAGCAGAAGGTTGCTCTTAATTTGGGGGTTGGTTTTAAATGGAGCCTTGGTTCCTGTTGTCTCAACAGAATGGCTATTTCTGTTGTGAAGGCAAACTGCCCCTTTACATAGGGGCAGTTTGGAAAATCTCTCTTAAATGACTTATTTAAGTTGATTTTAAAGCAGTTCACATCTGGCTGTTTAAAGTCCAGCTTCCTTGAGCTCCTTTGCTCCCCTGTCCCCTTAGTTGAATGAGAGCTCACTTAGGAAATATATTTTCTGTACAGGGATTCATCATCCTTTAATTGACTACACCGAACTTTGTGGGCAGCTACACATGATGTGTGTTTTTTTCATTTACGTTATGCAACTGTAAGTAACAAAGCTTAGAGTAGTTGCAACAGTGAAGGATTTTTTTAGTTGGTGGCATCCTATGTTGAGGCAACTCTGACTTCACTTGGTAATTAAACCTCATTTGTGAAAGACCTTTTCTCTATTAATTTGATCCATTAAAGAAACGCTCTTTGAAGCTGGTAGTTAATCTTCCTATTTAAATTGCTGGGTTTTACTCAGATTGGTTACAGCTTAGTTTTAAACAGCAGCTAAAAATAGCAAACTGTTGTGCTGTACAGTTTAAATATCTGTTTATAGTAGTAGCCTTTCTAGAAAGGAAATACCTAGTAAGAGGGAAAGGAGACTGCTGCTTGGACAGCACTGGTTGGTACCAGCATTGCACTTTTCCTTGAGCTTTGCCCATCACAAGCTCAGGCAGCCCTCCAGTAGGCAGCACTTGATTCTCTTACTCCAGGATTATTTTGTAACAGAAGCACTGTGAGCTTGATTAGAACAGTGTTTCATTCAGTGATCAATAATTCAATGGTTTGTGAGAAATTTTGACTGTTCATGTTGAAGTCTGCTGCTAAGCATGCTAAAACCAGGCAAAAATCCAGAAACTAGCTGAAATATTTTCAAGAACATTAGCCTTTGAGAAAGAAAATATAAGGGAAGGGGCTCAAATCACAACTTGTGAGGTTAGCATCTATTTTAATCTCTTGTATTCTCCTTCTCTACATCCCCTTTGTGATTTGCACAAGCCTGACAAACTTGTAGACTTGAAGTGCGCAGCGTTATTGCCAAAACATGGGGGTTTTAACTTAGAAGTGTCTGCAGTTGAAAAGGAAGCCCTGACAAAACTGCAGGCATCTAGGCAGATGCAAACCAATTACTTCCAGTAATGCTCCCTTGAGTTTCTATTGTAGAATGAACTTTCTGCAGGTGTAGGGATCTTGAATGAGTAGCTAACAAAGAAAAATCGGAGTTATAAGCATGGATCTCTCTAAGGCAGCATAATTACTTCTGTTAATTTTGTCAGTGAATCTGTGGTCTAAGAAGAGGAACAAAGATAATCCAGATGTGTTTTCACCTCCACCCTTAGTTTTTCATGAAGAGGAAAGTTCCTTTAGGCCTGTCTTCATAAGAAATGTTTAATCAATTAGCTTATATAGCAATTTTTTTCAGTATTGTTAAAGGTCAGACTTCTTGTAATAGCTGTTTCCAGATATATCTGTAAGTTAAGAGCCTCAAGCTTCTCAGTGCAAGATGTCCATGACTGGAGCAGGAACTTCTGTTGTCATGGGGAAATTGAATGTGAAGAAATCTGCAAGATGGGAAGTATTATCAGATATTTTAGGCTACCCTTCTGAGGAACATGAGCTTACATTCATGGAAACTGATAGAACTACTGTATGTCTGGAATTTTTAAAATGGTGAAATCCATAAGTTAGTTTTCCAAAAGATCTCCATTACTGTTGATTTATTAATGTTTCTCATTATATAGAAATAGTAGTTCTGTGATCAAATAGCCTGATAATGCCACCAAAGGAGAAAACACAATCCTATTCTTAGCTCTATAAAACTTACCATTCTGAAAACCAAGCTTCTAGCACTTCTTTCTGCTGGCAGTGGCAAGGGTTAGGAGGAGAGGATGGTGGGGTTGGGGATGGATGGGGATGCCATATGGTTTAATGAAGCTGGAGAAAATGAAGGTAATCACAGAAGAGGTTCTGATACTTTAGTTTGTCTTTATCACAGCTTATTGAACTTTTGTGTTTCAAGGCATTCATGCTTTCAGTGTTAGTTTTAGTGCTTTCGCTTGCATGTTTCTCCACAAACTAGACAAGTTTTTGGCCTAGTTTGGGGGTAGCGCATCAGGTAAATGATTGCAAGCATGTTCTTTTGGGTGTATATGTGCGTACATTAATCTGGTTCATTATTTCCCAAGTAATACCAGCTTGTGAATTGCTTTCCTCTATCATTTGTGATACCTCTCACAAGAGGCATACTAATTAAAAAGTGCTTTTGCACAGATCTGCAAACTTAGCAATGTGAATTTGGCAATGGTAGTATGTGACTTTTAAGTCTAGTGATATTTGAAAAAAGTAATTCCTAAATTGTTGCTAATAAGTAATGCTGTGTTTTCTTTTTTAATTAGTGATGCATTCTCTTTATGATAACATCGAAAGGCATGTGACTTTGAATTATAAAAGTACCGTTTACAGACATGTTTATCTTACACTTTTCATGTAAGTCAGTGGAAAAAAAGAGGATCCTATAGATTAGTGCAGCTGCCTTTTGTACCTCAGGTGTATGTAAAATAAAGATAGGGTGCCTTCAGAAGATATATGAAAAGAAAAATGGGCAATAATACCGTATGCTTTTATATTGTCCATTAAAAAATGAAAGCACATTTAACTGCAGTGACATAATTTCCTTGGGGACCATATTTCTTTTTCAAATGTAAAAAAATTTGGAGCTTCCATCTGAAAATGCTTACTTGAAAACTCATGTGACAGATGCATGAGACAAACGTGAACCAATGTGGGTACTGGGAAAAGGGAGAATTATCCATGTTACCAACTGAATGAGAGTCTTAGCTGTTTGAGTGCTTGCTTTTAGTGAGTTGTCTTTTACTCAGCGTGCCTTAGAGAAGGTGAGCCTAAGAGAAGCAATGGAAGGAGAATAAGGCACCTTCTTAACAGCTGGAGTTTTCCAGTATAGGGGAGACTATGGAAGGGGCTGTACTGGAGAAAGCTGGCAAGGAGACTTTTTGGATTGCTTGAAAGTCAGGACGCCTCATGTTAAATCAATATCTTTGCTTATCTGACCTGTTAGGTGGGCTTTATAAGGATGGTAACAAGGGAAGAACTCGGAGGGTGTACGTGAGGCTGCTAGAGCATTGAGGTGGAAATAATTTACACTGTAGTATTTTGAATGGACTTAAGGAGCTAGGAAGGAGGAAGGAAACAGGATTTGGAGGCTAGAGAAGCAGCTGTCAAAGCATAAGATAAGTACTTCAGGAATGGTTCTGAGTATGTGGATGTCTGTTTGAATTTGTCTTGTTGGAATACTCTGTGGGCTTGAATTTAATTCTGTCAGAGCCCAACCATGGCAGAACTCTCTACACAGAATTACAGTTATACTTTTGAACTGAGGTTTTCAATTACTTGATTTTGATAACTGGGTACTTGGCTACTGGGCAGCTTAGTTTCAAATTTAATTTGCAAAGAGAACTCTGTTTCCTGTATTAACTCCAAACTTTGTTTATATAGGATTAGCTCGGAACGCAGAAAAGAGAAGTCAAGAGATGCAGCCCGGTGCCGAAGGAGCAAGGAATCGGAAGTATTCTATGAGCTTGCCCATCAGCTTCCCTTGCCCCACACTGTGAGTGCACATCTGGACAAGGCATCCATTATGAGACTGACCATCAGCTACTTGCGCATGAGAAAGCTGCTAGATGCTGGTAAGCAGATAGTGTAGCAGAATCTGGAAAAGGGGCTGGAGTTATATTGAAGAACAAGCTATTTCCAAAAACTATCAGCAGTTAAATACATAGATAGTCACTTTCTATGGAAAGGTGGACGACTTTGCAGTAGAAATAGGCTGTTGGTGATGGTACCGGAAAATTATAGCCACTCTTCAATGTTGGTTTTTTTTTTCCCTTTCTATTTTGGTGATCCTAGTTAGCTCATCATGGCAAACTAGCTGAATATATATATCTGTCTCTGCAGTTACACCTACCCATGCAACTACAGGAGTATCTGAGTTAGCTTATGAACCAGTATCTGTATAGCATGCCACAGATGCTGTACTCGTTATTTGTACTCACGCATGCATACCTATACCACATGGAGAAGTAACTTGGATAATCCATACTCTGAAACTTCTCTTAGGAAGCCCCTGAGAAGTTTGTAACAGCTTTTTGAGATAAATGGTAAGATTTTTGCTATGCAGTCCTTTTCCTTAAGGTAGAAGGTTTCTTGGTTTATGCATAAAAGCACAGAGGGTTAACCTCACTGATTTTCTGTGATTTGTGATACCATTTCTATAGCTTGAAACATTTAATTGACCACTTAAATAAGTGAATTATACTAGTTTAGAACAGTTCTGCAAGATTGACTCCTTGCAGACTGGTGCCAGAAGTTGTTCCTGATAGTAAGTGAAGAATGGCCTTCTATGATGGGGCTACAGAACTGATGGACAGGGGTAGAGCAGTTGATGTCATCTACCTGGACAAAAGCGTTTGACACTGTCCCACACGACATCCTTGTCTCTAAATTGGAGAGACATCAATTGATGGATGGACCACTTGGTGGATAAAGAACTGGCTGGATGGCCGCACACAAACAGCTGTGGTCAATGGCTCAATGTCCGGCTGGAGACCAGTAACGAGTGGTGTCCCTCAGGGATCGGTGTTGGGACCGGTCTTGTTCAACATCTTTGTTGGCGACATGGACAGTGGGATTGAGTGCGCCCTCAGCAAGTTTGCCAATGACACCAAGCTGTGTGGTTCGGTTGATACCCTGGAGGGAAGGAATGCCATCCAGAGGGACCTTGACACGCTTGTGAGGTGGGCAGATGCCAACCTCATGAAGTTTAACCATGACAAGTGCAAGGTCCTACACCTGGGTGGGAGCAATCCCAGGCACAGCTACAGGTTGGGCAGAGAAGAGATTCAGAGCAGCCCTGCAGAGAAGGACTTGGGGGTGTTGGTTGATGAGAAAATGAACATGAGCCAGCTTCAGTGTGCGCTTGCAGCCCAGAAAGCCAACCGTATCCTGGGCTGCATCCAAAGGAGTGTGACCAGCAGGTCGAAGGAGGTGATCCTGCCCCTTTACTCTGCTCTCGTGAGACCTCACCTGGAGTATTGTGTGCAGTTCTGGTGTCCTCAACATAAAAAGGACATGGAACTTTTGGAACAAGTCCAGAGGAGGGCCATGAGGATGATCCGGGGACTGGAGCACCTCCCGTATGAAGACAGGCTGAGAAAGTTGGGGCTGTTCAGCCTGGAGAAGAGAAGGCTGCGTGGAGACCTCCTAGCAGCCTTCCAGTATCTGAAGGGGGGCTATAGGGATGCTGGGGAGGGACTCTTCACTAGGGACTGTAGTGACAGGACAAGGGGTAATGGGTTAAAACTTAAACAGGGGAAGTTTAGATTGGATATAAGGAGGAAATTCTTTCCTGTTAGGGTGGTGAGGCACTGGAATGGGTTGCCCAGGGAGGTTGTGAATGCTCCATCCCTGGCAGTGTTCAAGGCCAGGTTGGACGAAGCCTTGGGTGTCATGGTTTAGTGTGAGGTGTCCCTGCCCATGGCAGGGGGGTTGGAACTAGGTGATCTTAACGTCCTTTCCAACCCTAGCTGTTCTATGATTCTATGATAATGGCTGATGTTTACTTAAGTGAAAATGTGTGGCTGCTTGTAGGTGAGCTGGAGACAGAAGCCAAAATGGAGAAGGAACTGAACTGTTTCTACTTGAAAGCTCTTGATGGATTTGTCATGGTTCTGTCTGAAGATGGGGACATGATTTACATGTCTGAAAACGTGAACAAGTGTATGGGACTCACTCAGGTGAAATACTAACAATTCCTAACACTGTTTCAAGTCTATAAAAGTTACGTTTTTATATATATAAAATTAGACACCTGTATGCCTCTTATTTTTTGCAGTTTGAGTTGACAGGGCACAGTGTCTTTGATTTCACTCATCCATGTGACCATGAAGAGCTGAGAGAAATGCTTACACACAGAAATGGTGAGTAGAAAGACAAAATTGATTTGATTTTTTTTTTTTATAGATAGTTCCTGTTAGCATTAGTACAGTTGTATATCTGCCAGAAAAAGCTGTTGAGAGAACAAACTAATATCTTTTAGTGCTTAAATCTCAAAACAAACCTTGTTCAGCGATACTAACAGAAATAACCAGAATGTTTTGGCAGTATCATAATTAAAAAGGAGAGAAGACTTCATTACTACTTTAATCTAAAACAAAATTCATGACTGAAATGGAATTATTGAAGGTTGAAAGAATTAGCATGCCTGCAGGAATAAAATTAGAGGTAACTTGAATAAGAATGATCTTAAGCGACTGCTGTAGAGGGATACGGAGAAGTTAAATTGGTGCATTTGTTCTGGTCTGGGTTTTTCTTTACAGGACAATTTGAAAGCAAATACTTTCTTCCAGGAATCTGTGATGGTATACTTAAAACAAAATAAAAAAAGATACTATATTTGAGACACTGAAAAAGTAATTGTGCAATACTTGGATAGTCCCAGAAAGGGCTTTGGGACTGATGCTTCTCTGCACCTTTTAATTGGTGCATGAAATTGGTATCTTTTCACAGATTTCTGACTCCTCTCTGTCTGAGAGAGCAGAACACTGTGTTCACATATTCTGTATGCTTTTGAATTTAACCAGTGCCCATGAATTACTGCTTTTATGTCTTCTAAAGGTTTATTAATGACTATAAAGACTTGGCAGCCTACATGCCTCCAAACAAATCTGCTTTACTCAATTGTTAGATGTCCAAAATCCATCCTTTTTAATTTCTGTTTCATCAAACAAGGGTTATATGGATTCTGAATCTAGATTGTGCTAAATTACCAAGCCTGACCTCTGCTTTCATCTTACGTTGCCATTCTGTTTAATTCAGTGGAAGTGACCTGATAAGATACCATAACATTAAGGGCCCCAACTTTGATTTTGTGTTCTCTAAACTGCCCTTAGTATTAAAGTATTCATGTAAGTAAGGCTTGATGAGACTTCCCCCACCATTGTTCTGGGATACAGTAATGCATCTGGGAGGGGATGGGGAAACAACTTCACTAAAGCAGTGTGAAAAAAAAAAAAAAAAGGTCTTGTTGCAAAAGCTTATTCTTAAAAATGTCATATTGGTGAGCTTCTCATGCAAACCAACTGTAGTGTGTCTAAATTGGCCAGACAGGAATAAAATGTCTGGAAAGCATTATTACAAAATCTGTCTTGCAAATGAAGTTGGCAGACAAAAGTCTAAATTACAGTAATAATAGTACATTTTTATATTTATTAGAATTCCCAGGTTGCATTCTGTTGTAGCTCTTACATCACTGGAATTATTCTGGTTTTGAATTAAGCAGTAAATACTCCCCTTTGGGATTGTACAGGTGCAAATGACTATGAATGTGACTGGTAGAAACTGAATTGCATTCTGATTTTATGAAGTTTCTCTTTAAACTTTCAGAGCTGGCAATCTTAAAAATAATGTCCAGTGCTGAATCAGACTTGAGAAAGTTGCTCCATCTTTTACAGTGGCTTCTTAAAGCAGAGCCTTAAACATGAGGACTGGTAACAATAATGTGTGGTCTTCAACTATGAATTCCTAGATTGGTTTAACTCCTGTTTTATAAAAAAACTTACTGAATTAAATAATTTTTAGTTGCTTCTCTGAGCTCTGCTTTATTCCTCCTCCCCTTTAGGAAGGGTATTTTGATGTTGCATGAAGTAGGCTTGTACCCCATTAGCCTCAGCTAGAAGCTATCGACAGTGTAGCATAGGGGCTTTAACGTTTTTCTAGTGAATTTTGTGAAACTAGTAGCTGGAGTACAAGTACCGTGAAGAGTTTCATAGCTGCTGTTGTCTGTGGAGGATGAGAGCAAATTACTGTATAAACTTGTATCGGAAGTAAGCTTGCATGGTCTGAACCTCTACCCTCTGCCATGATTTGATCCTTACCCCTTAGCATACCTCAGCAAACTTACTCTTCCACTGCTCCTTATCCTAGGTGCTTTATTTCCTTCTGCCATGCACAGTGAGCTGCCCTCCTGTTAGGATCAGTTTGCATTTTCTTTGCCCAGAATAGCCTAGCTAGTAATAGACTCTGAAAGGTTCTCCCCCTGTAAAGACAAAAAATTAAAGCTTGATGGTAGAAAGACTAAAAAAATTAGTGTGACTAATATTAATTTGTGTTACGATTTCTTGGCTATTTTCTCCTCCAAGAATGCTAATAATGTGTTTAAAAACTTGGTACTATTTACTCTGAGTGTAAATATTTGAATGCATGTAAACAGCAGAGTTTTAAACTCTGAATTGAAAAACTTAAAACACTGCAGTCCTGAAAAGCTACAGGTCCAAAACACACTTCCCTTCAGTGAGTTACTGATGCATTTCAGTGGAAACCAACTCAATAGCACTTCTTATTCTGCACATGCTTTTCTTGTTCTCTCACAATTTTAAAGGGTATTAAATTTTCAGTTGGTCTCTCATTCTCCTCACTCCTTTTTCCTGGGAATGTGGGGTTGGGTCACAGTAAAACTTATTCTGAAAAGTGGTGTTATCCAAAGCACTTCTAGGTTTACCAATCTTTTTAATTTGTGGGTGTTCTCCTAGTCTCAGAAGTCTACAACATGGCGGGGGGGGGGGGGGGGAGGGTTGGGGAATTAATGCCTTCCAAAGATGATCCAAGAGCTTAAGAATTGATTTACTGTTTGCTTTTCTAGGTCCTGTGAAAAAGGGCAAAGAGCAAAATACAGAGCGCAGCTTTTTTCTCAGAATGAAGTGTACACTGACTAGCAGGGGAAGAACAGTGAATATCAAGTCTGCTACATGGAAGGTAACTAATGCAAAGGAATATTTATGTAGTTTGTCAGCTTCCTGTTCAGATGTCATAACACTGTATTTCAACATTTTGACTTCATGTAGTGAGATGGAGTTTCACTATCTAATGATTGTGCTTCAATATGCTGAATTTTAATGCTGACTACATTGTGGAGGTAACTGAAAGAGTGTTTTAAAATTAGTTTTTCAAAACTTTTAATGAATTCTCCATTTTAAATTAGAGGTCATTTGCTTACTAGAAATTATAATTACTAAATATGCTTGCATAACGCTTTCTCCGAGAAAAAAATATTTGACACCACTTATGCTGATACCTGATTTCTTTTGATTTGACACTGTAAACGTGACAGTTGAGGTCTCAATTGAGGACTTCAGTATAATTCTTTCTGAAGCTGCTGGCTATCCCTTTTGTAACGGTTGGAACAAAAAAAAGCCCAGCCTGATAACTTTCTGCAGTGAATGCATTTTATCCTCTGGACAAAAAGTAGCCTTTTATTGTATCGAGTGGTATCATGGCTCACAATTCTCTATTATAACCTAAATTTCATTATTCTGGATTAAACTGTTGTCTTTGCTGCTGTCCATAAACAATTTCTGCTTCAGAATGGTTAAAAAAAAAAACACAAAATGTGAAACTTACTGTGTCTTGGAGAATGTATGTGATTACTTCTGCGGAAGATTTAAAATGGAAGTCACTACTGTTAATATAACTTTCCAGTTTAAATAGTAAGATACCCTTTGTGAGGCAATTCCTTATCAGTGTCATCATTAATGTAACTTTCAAAGAACAGTTCACAGAAACACTGAAATATCAAGTGTGGCTTCAGCTAGTGCCCAAGAGGAAGTTGTTGGCAGCCCGTGTACTCATTGCATTCTGCATAGCGTGAGGAGGAAAACTGCTGCTCTCCTGTAGCCATCCATCTGAAAGCACTGCTGCCCTTCTGTTGTTGCTATCACACTGAGGGGTAGGGAGGGGAAGGACTTTGCTCTGGGTGTGTTAATGGATTGTGTTGTCTGACAGACAAGAACCTAGTCTCTTTTTAAAATAGAACTTTCTCATAGGTACTCCACTGCACTGGACACATACGTGTATATGACACATGTGGTAATCAAACTCACTGTGGCTACAAAAAGCCTCCCATGACGTGTCTGGTGTTGATCTGTGAACCTATTCCTCATCCATCAAACATTGAGGTCCCCTTGGACAGTAAAACGTTCCTCAGTCGTCACAGTCTTGATATGAAATTTTCATATTGTGATGAAAGGTAATATATATTTTGTAATTTAAAAAAGAATAATTTGAAGGATTTGCAGGGTTGGTACATGTTGGTTGATGCTGGCCTTATACGTTTACATAGTCTTACAACTTGATTCATCTGCACAGCAGAGTCATTGGTGACATACTTCAGCTTTTACTAAGTGATCAGGATGTCTTATTTAAAAGCATATTTTTTAAATCTAGGGAGAGTGCAGGTTATTATTTTGGAATAAATCTTTTGCCTGCAGTTAACTGCCTGTTCAAACTGGTATTTAGTGTAGCGGCAGTAATTAAACTGAAATCATAAGGTTCTCCTGGACACTGAAAAAAAGGGAAGGATTTTAGGTTTGTCAAAGATGGTGGTGCATTTTCGTGACTGAAAAGAGTGTGCATGTAATACTTGTTAAATGAGTTTTATTGTTACCACTTCACTTCCTTGGGAGATCAGTGTCTGCTTTCTCCAGCCCAAAAAAACCCCAAAAGTTTAGCTGTACTTTTGATGCAATACATTTGCTGTTAAAAATGAGATGTCTGGGTTCAGGTACAAGTCATGGGTGTAGTCAAATACACAAGACTGCTCTTACTATTCTCTGGAAACTTAGTTTGACAAATTTAAAAAACAGAAGTGAAAGAAATCACTGGCCTGAAGTTTTCTTCTTGTTTGAGTCTGGGGGTTTTGTGGTTTTAATCGAGTATTATTTGCTACTGCCTGTTGGGTTGTTTGTTTTTTTTTTTTTTTAATAACAAAAGCAAACTTATAATTAGTTAGTGCTGTAACACGCAAAGAGATGTCAGTGCAGGTTATTTTCTGTCCTCTACAGAAACTACTGTTCTAGGGTTGATGGTGTCATATGAAAAGTACTTACTTGGTCACATTCGGCATGTAGAATAGGGCAAAATAAATGCGTTTCCCTTGTTTAGCAGGGCCCTCTAGAGGCTGAAGAAAATACTGTTTTCTTTAAAAGCTGGCAGTGATTGAGTGGGAAGAATCATAGAATAGTTAGGGTTGGAAAGGACCTTAAGATCATCTGGTTCCAACCCCCTGCCATGGGCAAGAATAAATCTGATTCCTAATTTTTTAGTTGAAGGTTTACAATAGTTGATGCATAGCTATCTTATTTTAGCAAATACTCATATTTGCTTAAGCTGGATATTATAGTCCATAAGTAGCTGGTCTACTTTTAAGGAGAAAGGGGGAAGGCTAGAAAGCAGGGATTTACTTAATCCTGTCCATAGGACATGATTTATAAATATTCAGTGAGAAGTAAAATCCTGTTCCTGCTGAAATTTCCATTTTAAAAAAGCATATTTTAAAATTTTAAAAAAGGCAATTTATTTAAAAATGAAAACTCCTAATAAACCAAAATTGCTGCTAATGTGTATGTACTGGGATTTTTCTAGATGTGCAAGCATTCAAATTCTTTAATGTTTGTGCTAGTCAGTGTCTGCTTTTACTTAGCAGTTTTTTCCCTTGTTTTAAAGAATAACAGAGTTGATGGGATATGAGCCAGAGGAACTCCTGGGTCGCTCAATCTATGAGTACTATCATGCGCTGGATTCTGATCATCTGACCAAAACACACCACGACAGTAAGTAAAAGACGCATTTAAAGCCCTCCAGCTACAGGAGATGAGCTACAGCACCGGGATAAAGCGACAGAAGAATGAAGGCTTTCTTTTAATGGCAGATGTGAAACTGCAGTGAAGTTACCTTAAAACAGGGCTTTTTTTTCTGCCTGTAATTAAAGCTGGTGTCCTTTCTGCTTTCAGTGTTCACCAAAGGGCAGGTGACAACAGGACAGTACAGAATGCTTGCTAAACAAGGTGGCTATGTCTGGGTTGAAACTCAAGCAACTGTTATATACAACACTAAGAATTCTCAGCCACAGTGCATAGTTTGTGTAAACTATGTGTTGAGGTAAGTTGGATGTGCATCGCTGTTCTGTGTCATTATCTTTGCTGAAGACGAAGTCAGATTCTGATGGCACTGCATCCTTTTTTCAACTTGTTAAGAATGTAGTCTCCTGTTGAATGTGTTATGGTATGACTATTTCCTACTAATGAAACTTTGCTTAGAATACTGCCTGTCCTAAGATTAGGAAATGCATTTGAAAACAAAACACTTTTTTGATCTTGTAGTGTCAATAGGAAGATCTCTGTAGGCACATGAACGTAGGGCTAGCCTCTGCTGTACTATCACAAAGGAAGTGAGAGAATTTGTGTGTGTTCTAGACAGCTCCCTAATTCTGCAGTCTGGAGCAGTTCATTTCACTAATAACTTTTAGTCATGGACTTCAGAGCAGCAGTAATGGCGTCTTTTTTTTTTAATCCTATTTTTTTTTTCATAGAATTTCTTTTATAATTGAAAGCTTCAACTGAAAGCAGACGTGTTGACTTTTTCTGCAACTGTACAATAGTTCTAAATTAGTTTTTTGAAACTTCAGTGAATGTACCAATATCAATCTATCAACGTATTGCACATTCATTTAAAAGTAGCATTTTTTTTCTTACTTTCTGAATGCTTTCAGAAAAGCACATTTATTTCTGTGACTTTTTCTTGATGGCACCACAATTAGTACTTGCTCTATCTGTTACATTTGGGGAAAGAATGAGTAAGAAAAAAGCTCCTTTCCTGGTGATTTTGTGGTGTGGGAAGTATTTCTTTTTTTTTATTTTTATTTTTCTTTCCAACTTACAAAACCATTAACCCTGAATTTATTCCTTTTAGCTGTTCTTTAACAATTTCATTCCTCTCTGTCTGACAGTGGAATTGTTCAGAAGGACTTGATTTTTTCCCTTGGACAAACTGAGTGTATGCTGAAACCAGTGGATTCTCCTGATATGAAAATGACCAAAATATTCAGCAAAGATGACTTGGAAGATACCAACAGCCTATTTGAAAAACTTAAGCAGGAACCAGATGCTTTAACTGTGCTGGCCCCAGCTGCTGGAGACACAATTATCTCTCTAGATTTCAGCAGTAATGGTGGGTGTGTGTTTAAATTGGAGATCATGCAAATTAGTAAAGTTAGTATTTTACAGTAAAAATAACCTCCCAGTATCACTTGCCTAGTAGTGTGTCAGCTGCTGTTTGAATTTAATGAGGTCCGTAGACATGCACAGTATTGTTACTTAGGTTGATGGTTTCTTTTAATTTTTATAGAGTCTGATGAACAACAATGTGATGAAGTTCCTTTGTATAACGATGTAATGCTCCCCTCATCCAGTGAGAAATTGCAGAATATAAATATGGCAATGTCCCCACTACCTGCTTCTGAAACTACAAAGCCACTTCGTAGCAATGCTGATCCTGCACTCAATAGAGAAGTTGTATCAAAGCTGGAGCCAAACACAGAGCCGCTTGAACTTTCTTTTACCATGCCTCAAGTGCAAGAGCAACCAACCAGCCCTTCTGATGCAAGTACCAGCCAAAGTTCACCTGAGGTTAGTTTAGTTATGTAATTTAGATACACTGTCATTAAAATGCAAGTGCTGCTGGGACTTGTGGAGCAAATCAGGTTAAGGATGTAGCCAAGACCTGAATTAAAAATTATTTCTATGTTGTGACTTATGCCATGATCTGAGGAAAAAGATCAATTTTGAAACTGAGTATCACCTTTTCAGCAAAGTGAGTCTTGCAAATGCTTGTAGTACTGACTGATAGAAACAAGAAGAGCTTGGGATTGGTCTTTCTAGAAGAAAAATGGTTCAAAGACAACTTCCCTAAACAGCAAATTAGATGAAACCTATTACTATAGAGGCCACTTCTGAGTTCCAACAAATTGTGTGCTTCCAGAATGGAGTAAATTTGAATGTATAAATGTGTTTTTCCTTTCCCATTAGAATTTTGTGCATGTATAGTTTGGAATTAGCTTTTACATTGGAACATTTTTCAGAGAACCTGTGCAAAGTAATGTAATGGCAGAAACTTAAAACTGCACTTACAATGTTTTCACAGCCCAGTAGTCCCAACAACTACTGCTTTGATGTGGATAATGATATGGCTAATGAATTCAAACTGGAATTAGTGGAGAAACTCTTTGCAATAGATACTGAAGCAAAAAATCCATTCTCTACTCAGGTAATGTACGCTAACTTAAAATTCTGTATAATCTTAATACTTAGTCTCTGTGCTTCTCTTAGAATGTTTTCAGGAACATCCTTCCTCTTCTATGCCATACTTTTGTTAAATGGCAAAAAAATACTGTACAGATTTGGTAAAGGGAAAAGCCTTAACGAAGCCATGAAGTCACAGCTGAGATGTTCTTACATATTTATAATTTTACCTCGTCTTTTCCAGGAAACTGATTTAGATCTAGAGATGTTGGCTCCTTATATCCCAATGGATGATGACTTCCAGTTGCGATCCTTTGATCAGCTGTCTCCACTGGAAAGCAGTTCTTCTGGCTCTCAGAACGCAGCCACCATTACCTTATTTCAGCAGACTCAGACACCATCAAGTACTGCTGATGAAATAAAGCCAGTGTCGGAACGTGTGGATGATGTGAAGTCGCTAATTGTTCCTTCATCTCCTGTTCACATAATCAGTGAAACGAGTAGTGCCCCAGGATCCCCTTACAGTGGGAACAGGAGTCGAACTGCATCTCCAATCAGAGCAGGAAAAGGAACATCGGATCAGACAGAAAAACCTTGTCCTGGAGCACCCAGTTTGCTAACAGTCACTCTGAATAAAAGGTATTTTAAAAGTGAAGCTTAAGCCCTAGTATGTGTTGAAGAAATTAGATGTATTACACATTTAAATCTCGCCAACTGTTATATGTTGTCTTTGGCACTCTGTTTCGAAGTAGAAATCAATATATTTAAATTTAGACATTTGAAACCAGTTTAGTGTGGTTTATAGTAAGTTTCCCTAAAGTTAATTTTGCAGTAGCTTTTACATAAACATCTGATTTAATAGGCAGCTACTGTATACAGACTCCTACATAATTTTGTTCTGCTCTTGTATCTGATGTGCAGCCTTTTTAAAAGAGCACAGTAGGCAATGTACAAGTAGTTATATACACGCTATTTCTGGTGCTTGTCCACTTCATTATGTGGTAAGAGGTGGCTGCAGTCTGTGTGCAGCATTTATTGTGTTTGAAATTAGCTATATTTCATAATGATGGACTGTGGCATACGTAATAGATGTTTATCATGATAGAAAACTCTACAAAGTCAAACATCAGAATTCTGATCTATAGAACACTTTTCTGTACATAGAATATTCAGAATAGACTTTTCCTCACTCACCCTTCCCTCCTTTCTTTTGAAAGTGAATTGATGAACTTTTGCGCTTTTTTTCCTTCAAAGACTATAATTTTTGTTATAATTCATTCTGAGCTTCATGGCAAGATGAAAAGCTAATATTTGCTATGCTCATACACAATGATTGTTGAAATGAGTTGATTATGAAAGAAAAGTAGTATAGTTCATAGATTCAGTTCTGTGATGTTGTATGTGTGTCCACAAAAGAAAAATGGCTTGAGGATAGTAGAAACGTCTTAACAGCCTGAATCAATTTTTCTTAGATCTACTGCAATGGATGAAGAACTAAATCCAAAGATGCTAGCTTTGCATAATGCTCAGAGAAAACGAAAAATGGAACATGATGGTTCACTTTTTCAGGCAGTTGGAATTGTGAGTTTTGTTTTACCATTTTAAAATATTCACTTTTAACCTTGCAATTTTTGAAATGAGGCACCAGTTCAGACTCCTAATTTTAGTTCTTGGTATGCACTGGAATCTTGGGATCAGAGAAAATTGCTTGGTAGTGAAATTCCCATGTATACACAGATACTCTGATTATTTTTTTTTTTTTTAGTTGTCTTTTACTATCAGCTGTTTCAACAGTACCCTCTATACTTAAGCACATTTCTTGATTAGGTAGGAAATACATTTGTGCATATTCTATAGAAGAGCAGATATGTTCACAGAAGAGTAAGACATCACATTTAAATGTGAAATTGCCATATTTCACCTTTGCATTCAAACTCAATTTTCATATTTGTCAGTACTGGAGATAGTGTTATTGTGCTTCTTTCTATGCGTTCATTTCTTCATCGAGTCTCATGTTCTTTTATTTGATCACATAAGAAGACCATCTGAACCATAAGGGAATAGAATATAACCTAGCACATATATATAAAACTACTGCTTCTATTACATGCACACTCTTTGTAGTGTTAAGTGTGCATGATTGTGAGTAGCTCATCATTGTCTGTTCTAGCTATTCAAAAAAAAACTTGGGTATTCTTAAGTTTGTGTCACTTAATTGGGGCTATCTAGGTTATTTTCTCCAAGGGTATTTTGTCTCCGTAATCTTTGTCTTTTACTGTCAGTTCTTAGTATTTTGAAATCTTGAGCTTTGCCGTTACATACTATTATTTCTCTTTCTGCCTTCATTGCAAATTCACTTAAGTTTTGTACAATTAATTCTTGGTTCCTCTACTGCAAGGTAGTCTTTGAGATTCTTTGTTTCTCCAGCAATCCATCTCCTAGGGGTAATAATCCCTCATGTGCAGGATGATTTTTCTTTTGAACTATGAATTATTCCTGTATTGGCATTCTGGTTTGGGCATGAGACAAATTACTGTATACTGGTTTTATCATTTTTGTCCTCCAGAAGAGCTGAGAACTTTTGTATGTCCATTTTTATTCTATGAGGCAGGCAGTCTTTAAAACAATCATACTATTGATTTCATTTGCTAAATATTTTGCACTTTTATGCATGTTGTTCTTTGCTTCCAGTAGCTCTGTAATATTCACAGCTCTGCAAGTTACTTTGCCTTCCATTGCCTTTTTCTCATGTAATGGTGCTACAGCTGTCATGTAGTGTTGCTGATTAAATATTCAGAGTAGCCTGAATTGTAATTAAGTACACCGAAAACAAGCAGTTCTGCATTAACTGCTGTAATAGTGTTCAGGCATTTATGCTTAATGCTTAAAGGTTCAGACTTCATCCTTCACTAAATATTTTTCTTTTTTCTGTACTGGAAATAAGTGTTGCAAATGTCGACTGTTTCTGCACAGTCAGAAGCTGAATTTTCAATGTAGCTGGGTCTTAGTGATATTATTTCAAGCAGATACAAGAAGATACGAGCTATATCTTTCTTAATATGAAGGCTGTATTGCATTCACAGTAAAAACAAGACCAAAAAATCCAAAACAAACAACAACAAAAAAACCCCAACACAAAACAACCCCAGCAACAATGCAGGTGACCGACCTTACTATGAAATGCAATTGCTAAGTCAAAGTTGTTTAGCTTCTATTATACAGCTGTCCTTCTGAGTTACATGGATGTTTTATAACCTGAAAACATATGTTCTTTGCTATTTTAAGTGTTCTGGATAATGGCAGTGTTCTGAAATACCTTTTCCTCCTTTAGCAGCAGTCAGTACTACTAAGAAGACAAATTTGCAGATTCAACTACTTTTGCTAGTAAATTTGATACTAAGATGGTGTGTTTTCCTTCCATCCCATCTGTTTCAGTGGCAGCTTCTTCTTACTTATACTAATCATATGGAGCCTTTAAAAGCTTTCTAATTGCCATATCTTCTGTACTGCTGTCAAAACAATATGCTAAGGAGCTGTATCTGTGGTAGAATGGCTTAGGACTGCATTCCCTTTGCTTGGCTCAGACAGCTTGGTGGCAGTAACTGGAGTGCAAGCAGAATTTATGTCTTAAATTTAGATAGAATCGACTTACCGAGGTTCCTAAATCTCCTATCTATGCTATTAACTACAGTGTAGGAAGCCATCAGAGACTTTAGTGAAAACCTGATGCTTACTCATACAAGAGCAGTGGCAATTAAATGGGTGTGTATGCATACAGGAACATGCTAATCTTCAGCTTGGTAACTGATCATAACCAGGATTTAGTAATTGTTTTCTGTAAGGGAAGCAAGGTCTTTGAAATCTGATTCAGTTTTCTTTTAAATAATTCTTAAGGCTAGTGTACTTGGAAATATATTTCTCCCCAAGTTCTGAGTGAAGCCCACTTTAAATTATAACAATGCCTACACTAGTAATTAGTGACAGGAACTGTTAGTTTGGAAGAGGGACATGGAGGGCTACAAAGATACAGTATTCAGTAAAGAAGACTTATTTTATTTCTTTCTAGGGGTCTTTATTTCAGCAGACAGGTGACCGTGGAGGAAATGCATCACTTGCTTGGAAACGTGTGAAGGGATGCAAAACAAATGGTCATAATGGAGTGGAGCAAAAGACAATCATTCTACTATCAACTGGTCAGTCTCTCTTTTTAATACCTAGAGGGGGGCAGAGGGGGTTGTGTGAAAGAGAACTGAGTGACAAAAGCATACCCAAACTTACCTCCTTTATGAAGAATTGCGGAGAAAAAGTTAAAAGTGGTGAATAAAGTGCACATTTTCTCCTTCCCCTCCCTCTTTAGACATAGCAAGTAAACTTCTAGGGCAGTCGATGGATGAAAGTGGGCTACCCCAACTCACGAGTTACGATTGTGAAGTAAACGCTCCCATACAAGGCAACAGAAACCTGCTACAGGGTGAAGAACTGCTCAGAGCTCTGGATCAAGTTAACTGAGCTTTCACAATACTTGTTCCTTTTTTTGGACACTGGTGAATCATCACCTAAAGCAGTCTATTTATATTTTCTATATCTGATTTTAGAAGCCTGGCTACAGTACTGCACTAATTCAGTTAGTTCAGTTTTGATCCCCTTTCTACTTACTTTGACAGTCTTTTTAATATGTTCTTTATGTAACAATAACTCAAAACTATAGTGCGTTTTTATAATTCTTTGGTACATACACTTTTAAGTCCATTACATTTAAAACACTCTTGCAATAGCAGCTTTGAAATATGCACCTGATCTAAAAAAATATATTTATTTTTTGGCTGGGGAGTTGGTCACCAAAACTTAGTAGTAAAATGTCAACACAGGAAAAACTGGCAGTACTTCCACCCTGCTTTTCATAGGTAGTTGGAAGACTTGTGTTCTCTTACTCTTTATGTTCAAATAAGTTTTTTATTTTAATAGTTTTTATAAGATACAACAATGCTTTGCAGCAGTGCATTGTAGCCACAATCGCACAATATATTTTCTTAAAAAATACCAGCAGTTCCTCATGCAATATATTCTGCATTTATAAAAACTAGTTTTTAAGAAGAATCCTCTTTTGTTTGCCTATGAAATTGTATTTAAACCTGGATTATGTCATTATTTTAGTCATGTTGTAATATAAAATGTTCTTAAATGCTGTCTTATGCTTTTGACTTAAATGAGCGTGGTTAGTCAAAGGAAAGGCTTTATCTGGAAAGGGCTAGCAGCATTTTATTTGGATTTGTTCTCAATTTAGGAAAGTTTGATGTTATTAAAGTAGTCATTTTGCCAGCTTAAAAAAAAAAAATCCCCTGCCTGTAGCTGTTGAAGTTAATGCTAATACTGTGTATGATCTTAAATCTAAATGTTCAGCTTACCCTGTGTGGTATAGGTGATATTTCAAGCAGATTGTAAAACATCTTGCATTGTTAGCAAAGTTTTATCTAGTACATCATTGAGTTGCTCAATATTTTGATGTTTTGGTTTTATGCACCTTGTTGCTATTAACATCCATATGTTTTCATGTAGATTTCAGTAACTTGAATATATTTAGCAGCCTTTTTATTTAGAAATACATAGTTGTCACAAACATCTTAATTTCCTATATGTACTGTACAAAACCTTCATTCACTCATTCTTTTGCTCTTTGTGGTTGGATCTAACACTAACTGTATTGTTTTCTTACATCAATAAACTATATGTGGACCAGGCCCCCTTGGGGAGTGTGTTATCTGAGAGAAATGAGATAATTTATATTTTTGTTAGTGGTTATTGTTCATCTGTGTTCCCTTTTTAAATTAGAGTTGATTGGAAATCACTGCTCCCTTATTTTGATTGTAACATCTCTGTGTTAATTATTTGAGCCTATTCAGTACTGAAGTCTAGACAGTGTTGTACTACCGCTCACCAAAGATGTTTAACTTTTAAATCTGTTATCACACCAGTTTGCAAACTTTAAAGTGAGGAGACAGCATATTTGTGTTACTGCAGAGTGGAAAGATTCTTCCTTGTGAACAGCTTAAAGGCTTGTCTCTGGAAGCTTTATCAAGGTAACACTGGAAAGCAGGAAAAAGTAAAATTCACAGGACTGATCAGGTAGACAGATTTTTCTCACAAAACTGCATGATTACAAAATTAAGCTGGTGCTTGATAAGCTTGTTCTGCATTCTTGTGCTCTTGGCTCATAACTTTAACTAGGTGACTTCTCATTTTGCTGCCATAAAACACAATACTACTGATAGAACCTTATCATGTGTAAGTATGGTCAAGATAATTGTGCATTCTTCAAACTACTTTAAAAATTATCTCAATGTAAGACATCACATGGAGTGTCACAAGAATGATTTTGGTTTTATTTTGAAACTTTGGCTTCATTAGACTCCTGCAATCAGTATAACGGTACATAAGCTTTAACCTGTTTTCTACAAATTACTGTTTGACTAAAATGTGCAGTTTTGAAACTGAAACAACTGTATTAAACTAAATGGAGACTATTAGCTACCAGCTTAAAGTAAAAGATAAGGCACTAGTAGCAGAAGAGGGTTGCATACTTAAAGTTTTGAATAGAAGTTGCACATAAAGGAGAAAGCATGTAGGTGCACTAAGCCAGAGTTGAAGCTTCGTGCAGAGAACATTTGAATATATATACATGCCTGCTGCTGAATACTACAGATTTTTAATGAAGCCTTTAAGTGTACAAAGCTTATAAAGTTCTTGGGATGAATACAGCAGAGCTACTGTGTCCCTGCTGTGTAAGGTCCTGGAGATGATGTTCTATCAGCAGTTAAAAGGTTTTAACAGTGAAGTTGCTAAAGGCTTAGAGTCATAGAATAGTTAGGGTTGGGAAGGACCTTAAGATCACGTAGTTCCAACCCTCCTGCCATGGGCAGGGACACCTCACACTAAACCATATCACCCAAGGCTTCATCCAACCCGGCCTTGAACACTGCCAAGGATGGAGCATTCACAACCTATTCCAGTGCCTCACCACCCTTACCGTAAAGAACTTCTTCCTTATATCTAATCTAAACTTCCCCTGTTTAAGTCTGAACCTGTTACCCCTTGTGCTTTCACTACAGTCCCTAATGAAGAGTCCCTCCCCAGCATCCCTATAGGCCCCCTTCAGATACTGGAAGGCTGCTATGAGGTCTCCACGCAGCCTTCTCCAGGCTGAACAGCCCCAACTTCCTCAGCCTGTCCTCATACGGGAGGTGCTCCAGTCCCCTGATCATCCTTGTGGCCTCCTCTGGACTTGTTCCAACAGTTCCATGTCCTTTTTATGTTGAGGACACCAGAACTGCACACAATACTCCAGGTGAGCTCTCACGAGAGCAGAGTAGAGGGGCAGGATCACCTCCTTTGACCTGCTGGTCACGCTCATTTTGATGCAGCCTAGGATACGGTTGGCTTTCTGGGCTGTGAGTGCACACTGAAGCCAGCTCATGTTCATTTTCTTATCGACCAACACCCCCAAGTCCTTCTCCACAGGGCTGCTCTGAATCTGAATTAGGGTAGAGAACCTGCTGGTACGGGCATCCCTTCTGCTCAGCTCAATGTGGATTCATGTGATGCTTCTGTGAGATAGGAGAGTCTTGATATGTGTGAAAGGTTCAAGTGGGTTCTGCTTCTCTTACTGCCCCAGCAAGCTTTAAGCTGCATTGTTGGGTTTTCCATTTCCATCTTCCAAGAGAAACATCATACAGTCACACCTGAAGTTCTTTTGCTACTCTCTTGACCTTATTTTGGAGCAGCCTGACTTGTTTGGATCTGTCAGTTCCTCTTCAGTGTATTTTAAGAGGGCAGTAAATTTTCATAAAGCAAATCCATGTTAAAGGAGGAAAACTTAAGTGACCCACATGATTTATGGTTATGTGCCTGTTGGAATCATCTCTGGTCTCAATGAGAGCAGTTCTGTATTTAAATGAGCCATGTTTCATCTAAGAATCTTCCCAACTCTCACATTTTTTTAATTACACGTAAGGCATAGCATTTTGCTTTTTCTGTTCATGCAAAAGTGACTGAAGCAGTTAATGACATGAACTGCAGTAGCTGTATTGTTTACTTTTTGTTTTGTTTACAAAAAACCTCCCAAAGACACTGAAAAAAATATGGGAAAGTAACAGTAATTGCTCTGGCCTTGTGAGAGCTTTGCTAAATGCAGCTGGAATTTCACAGAATCTAGAAGGACACCTTCTAGCTGCCTTGTTTTAATTTTTTATATATTTTTTTTCTTAGACTCTCGGAATGCATGGTCTGATTCTAAACCTACTTTGGAGGACAATCTTCCTGGTCCAGTGGAGGGTGTCCCTGCCTATGGCAGGGGGTTTGGAACTAGGTCATTTTAAGGTCCCTTCCAACCCAAACCGTTCTATGATAATACATTACTTCTACATCTTTTCTTAGGGATTTTGAATAATTTCTTTGCTGAATTGCTACCTTTTTAAAATGTTGAGACAGTACGTTAGAGCATTTGTTCTTTGCCAGTAAAGAACTGTAGGTAGATAACAGTGTTTCATTCTGCATATGAAATCCTCAATTATCATTTTCACATAAAGTGAGGAGACTGTAACAAAGTCAGCTTCCAGAAGATTACTGTCACTGCAGTAGTAGTCAAGCCCTGATGGCTTTATTAAATGAGAGGAATTTTAAAACTAGAACTTATCATTCATTCCCTTACCTGAAAGTAGTTACCAACTACAGCTGCAGCTCCCAAGAAGTCACTGAAGTCTGCTGCCCAGCAACTTGATCTCAGGTGTAATATACTGAATACATTAAGGAGTCCAAAGTACACCTTTCTAACAAACATACCTCCCTCCTGTGTAGCGAGAAAGGCTTGGACCCTGCTGATCTTTGAAAACCAAACCTTCAGGTGAAATAGAAAGAAACTGCTATTAAGTTTCCTTTCCTGTATGTCTCTGTTCACATGTTGAACTCTTCCTAAGTAATTACTGCATTAAAGAACCACAAGTTAAGGCCTTTACCTGTAACTCTGGTGACAATAAAAGACTTCAAAGGTTATATTAGATTAATTGATCAGCCCTGCTTCCAATGAAATACAGCTTAAAAAAGTCTGATCATTACAGGTTAAGATAACTGTATATTTAATAGTTTGGATTTGTGGTTTTGTTTTTCATTATTTTAAAAAGCTGTTTAATTAAACAGCTAGCCAGGGGTAGTAAAAGGCAGACATGGGCTGTCTGACCAGTACCTGTTGGCAAGCATTCTCCCCACTTCCACTGTGGACTGAACTGTTCCCTGATGAACAGAGTGGTGGAAGCTGAGAAATGTGAGTGCCCTGCCACTGTCACCCATCTGCTCCCAGCCTGCTGATTAGCTGCTACTGAACCCAGCACAGATCTTGCACAAATGTCACTGCACTTAAACACATTATTCAGACTAATTGCCAACACAAAAATAAACATTTCACAGGCCAAGAGTATTTTGTAAGAAGACCATTTCCGTAGTAATTCACATGAGTTATGTATCCAGCTTTCATTAAAAGTACCATTAGGAATTACAGGGACTTGACTCCCTGGAATGTTCCATTCTGGAGAACTGTGATTATTTTTTATTTTTGATCCAAATTGCAGAAATTAGTTGTCATTTTCCTTCTGCTTCCCTGTTTACCTTGAGCAAGTTACCAAAAATTAAAAGAGTTTGCTACTGGATTTATACAATGTGGTAGACTTTGTGAATAATAGCAGTATTCTCTCATGAAGAAGTGGTATATTTTAATGGAATTCTTTTTTGGAGCCAAGTACAACATATTGCAATTGATATTTCTCTTGAAACATTTTGACGTACTTGTGACTGTATTTCTTTTTGATTGTGTAACAGTATAAAATTCAATAAAAGAGAGGGTTTGTTTCTAATTCGTGACATCTGTGATCTTTCTGTTCATCCCTTATCCCTGTTCTAAAAGATGATGGCAGATGGCAAAAACCACTTCAAAAAAAGTGAATTAAAACCCACTATGCAACTAAGACTCCTCACATGCTTCAGGTCTTACTACTGAAGTCAGAAACTTTAACACTAAGCACATGTGGTCTGTTTTCCAAAAGCATTGACAAATTCTGTCTTGCCTTTACAGCTGAATCCTGTTCACACTGAATCAGAATCACCTAGGTTGGAAAAGACCTTTAAGCTCATCAAGTCCAACCTTCACCCCAGGACTGCCAAGACCACCATTAAACCATGTCACTAGGGGCCTCATCTACACATTTTTTTGAACACCAGGGACGGTATAGAATCACAGAACATTGGACACAATGGTTATCCCACCTGAATTAAGTAGACTACGTGCATGAACTAAAGAGACCTCTTTAGTAATCACATACAAAAAATGCCCCTACTAACAAAACAGGAACTACTTTGAATCCAAGGTGCTCTCTCCAGGTGAGTTCACTTGCTCTCAGTACATGCAAATAACTTCACGAGAACTTGAGACTCCTGCTGCCTTGTTAAATCAATAGTGCTTCCTATTGCAAACATTAAAAGGCTTTGGCAAGATTTATGCTTGGTTGTCTGAAAGCAAAAGGTAAGTGCCAGTGCTGTCACAGTAGAGTATGATCCTGTTACTTGGTATTAGTGATAGGCTTGTACATACAGAAGTTTGAATATACTATTTAATAAAATGTATCCATGATTTATTTTCATGAGAATACATTAAAATCTGATTTATTTTAATGCTTTCAATTTGAAAATGGGTAGA